CACCCTGTACTCTCTGTGAATATTGAGTTTATTGACGCACGATTAGTCAATATAGCAAATATATGCGAGCGGAAGTGAATTACAGATGATTAAATTTCTAAAATTCTAGATAAAACGTGTAGACTGCCTCCGCGTCGCTGGTTGAATCTGCATTCGCCGCGGTGGCGGCTGCGCATATGGTAGATAGTAGCGTGATTGCCGCTTGATCGCTGCGCCTTGATCATGCCGTTCCAGTTATGATCGCAGTTATGCCTCAATTTGTTCTTCATCATTCGTGCGCCAGGTTATTCTCTCTTCGTAGAATCTGATTACAACTTGGGGGCATTTAATATTCGCTTTCCGGGCTGGGACCCAATTTACCTCATTGCTACCTTCCCACTTCATCAAAAACATGAGCTCTCCGCTGGACTCGGTTGCGCCGATGATGCGCTCCGGTTGGAGTCCTCGTGCGAAGCCACGTGAATTCGAAGAGTCCTCCTCCTCCGTTTCCTTTTCCTCTTCCAACTTCCGTTTAAACTCCGGCATCAGATCTTCGCTGTTTAGTTTCGCTTCAACTTCACTGTGTCATTGGGGGTTCAGGGTGATGGAAGGCAGTAGTGGTGGGCTTCTAGCGGGGCAGGATTAGGCAATAGGTTGCATGACGGCTTACTCGATATTAAAAATTACTATTCATCGATTACATTACGTTAAGCTGAGCATTAATGAGTGTTGTACTTACATGACACGGCGTCCATGCTACGCTGTACAAACGCTAGCTGCTACGCTGCCGCTGCCGCGAGGTCACTCTTCGCTAAGAATAGCTTCAGCGTGTTCGTACGTGGTAAGTTCGCAAACGTTTCCATTGGCGATGGCCGCTGCTGCTGTCGCTCGAAGCTGCAGTCGACGTTGACGATGGCTAAGCTGACGTCGCGGCTGTTACTGTTACTGCTGCTGCAGTCGACGTTGACGATGGCTAAGCTGACGTCGCGGCTGTTAATGTTGATGCTGCTGCCGGCGATCTCTTCACGATGATTAAAAAAAAGAAGAAGCCTAAAGCTCCTAAAAGCTGCAGGCCCGCCAGCAAAGCTGTAGGCCCGCCAATTTTGGAGCAAATTACAGTAATAAAACAGCATATCATGTTCTTCCTTGTGTTTATTAGTCATTATCAATGTCCATAATCATAATCCCTCTGTTGTTCCTTCCTCTCGTCGGATGACGTGAGATGATGTTTATGCTTCTTTGCCGGGGGCTCACAATTAAGGAAACGCCACATCGTTGTTATATGTACTCCTTGGACTACGACTCAACCTACCACATCGGGACTCTATGGGGTCTGGGGGCGGCAGAACATTTTGGAAAATTATAAGCCTCTGAGATCCATCTTCGAGCATTTCAGGGTACCTCCAATAGCTTACAACTAGCAACACTTTTGGTGGAAAAGGAAAAAATTATGTAAAAATTAGCCTTTTATATTTATTTTATTTAAATTTAAATTTTGATGGGCACGCCGCCTGGGGGGGGGGGTGAATAATTGTGCCTTCATTTTAGCCTCATCTCGACATAGTCAGATTGCCGGCTTGTAGAATCGCATGATCGCTCCGTCCGTCCGTCCTCGTGCGAGCGTCCGTCCGTCGTCCCGCGTCACCAGTTGGGCAGCAAATCTTAACACGGCTCGAACGTACGGTCACGATATTCGGACGTGGGGGGCGTAATCCGTACAGAACGAGTTGGGATGTCGACAGCTGGGTCAAAGGTCAAAGTCAAGAGGTGTCAAAGAAGGGAGAACATTCACTCCTTAACTTAAGGTATAGGGAGGGAACGCAGCATTGCGGCACACAATCTAAACGGCTCGACCTAGGCTCGTGATAGTCGGTGTATAGCATCATGGTAGGGAGCAGCCATCAGCTGTGCGAAATTGAGTCCACAGTCACCAGTCCATGGGCACAGGCAGATTTAGACATTTTTCTGAGGACATGGTCGACGGAGGCCGATTTGAAAAATTTTGTCTTCAGCGTGACCTAGCTTTTTATGGCATTGTGAAAGGCCGCATGAAAGCTACTTTCTGCTGCCATGCGAGAGTAAGTGTCAGATAACCTTTTGTACCCTCAGAGGAGGGTTAACATGGATTTGTGACTGTCTGTTAGAAAGAATTGACTGCCGGTTGGCTAGTAGAATCTATACATGCCTGGCATGTAGGAGGCCTAGGCATTCACAGTGAAATTTCAGGAAGCTAAATTTGGTTTAAAGAAGGGTTTGATGCTCGCTTAAATCCTATAATTTCTAGGCATTCTGTACTGTCATTATGGGTTAGCCATGTTACGTCATGCACTGCAAGTAGCTGACTGCCAGGCATGTGTTGGGTACTTGTGGAGTTTTGGAATGCGTTAATCCTGGTTACAAGTGGCAGCTCTTCTATTGGGCAGGCCTGTAGGCTTGCTATAGTAAAATGGATGATGCTTACCTATTCCTGTCTTGCAGATAGTTGTTGCTACTACGGTATGACTCGCGGACGCTTCCATCTTTAATCGCTGAATCCACTAACTAGCGCGCCATCTCGTGGGCAACTTTCATAACGATCCAAACGAACTATTCTTTGAGAAGGTCCTGATACATCCCTGTGCATTCCAACGTTTCGCGTGTTATGTGAACACATTTTGGACTAACAGGGTTTACTCGAATCCACGCACTCCACCAACAGAGTCACGCGCCGTAAGACGTTAATGAGCGCTGTCGGCTCGCGGCACTTGTTGTTTGTATATTGCGTACATTTGATATTTATGATTGCGTTCACACTTTGCGTTTCCTCTCTCTCTCTCTCTCTTTCTCTCTCTCTCGCCTCGTTGCCTCAATTCTCTCTCTCTCTGCTTTCTCTCTCCATTCTCTCTCTCTCTCCTCTCTCTCTCTCTCTCGCCCTCCTCTCTCTCTCCCTTTCTCTCTCTCCCTCTGCTCTCATTCCTCTCTCTCCTCTCTCTCTCTCTGCCTCTCTCTCTCTCTCTCTCTCTTCTCTCTCCCTCTCTCTCTCTCTCTCGATCTCCTCGCTCTCTCTCTCTCTTCTCTCTCTCATCTCTCTCTCATCTCTCTCTCTCTCTCTCTCTCTCTCTTCTCTCTCTCTCTCTTCCTCTCTCCTCTCTCTCTCTGCTCTCATTCTCTCTCTCGGCTTCTCTCTCTCTCTCTATCTCCGCCCCGCTCTGTATGCATACATAATAATGATAATTGATAATTTATCAATATTAACCTCTGATACATATATATGCTCGTATATGTGTGTGTGTGTGTGTGTGTGTTGTGTGGTGCGTGCGGCGTGCGTGCGTGCGTCGTGCGTGCGTGCGTGCGTGCGTGCGTGCGTGTGTGTTGTGTGTGCGCGCGCGGTGTGTGTGCTGTGTGCGTGCTGTGTGCGCGTGTGTGTGCATGCGCGTGTGTGCGTATGTGTATGTGTGTTCGTGCGCGAACATGTGTGTGTTTGCAGCCAGTCACCTCGCATCTCGTCTCTTCCTCTTCCAGACAGCAGCAGCCGTCCGTCGTTCCTGCACAGCGTGCTCGGCAGCAGCAAGTCGCCAACCGCCGTCGGCCGGGAGCCTGAGCGACTTAACGACGTGCTGGCCCGCTATCCGTCGCAGCAGCAGCAGCAGCAGCAGCAACAAGACGCGTCGGCGCTAGGCCGCCATGCCGTAAATGGCGAGAGCGTCGTGAGGTACGTTAACGTGTAGCCGACGTTAGCTTGTAGCGCCGACGTTAGCTTGTAGCGCCGACAGCGCGAGAGAGTACGTCCGATACGTGTGTATACGTTCAAGCCGCAGATGTAGGCTCACTCACGGGAAACACGGGATGTGTAGACTTCAGACGGGTATCTGTTGGGTAACTGCCAGTGCCACGTGCTCAAGATCCATAAGTGTCCTTTCTAGACATGTGTATTCGTTCAAGTGGTATCCCTGTGTAATTGCGTCTCAAGTGAAATGCCAAAAGTGTCCTTTATAGAGACAGGTGTCCGTTCTGTAGAGGAGGTATCAATTTATAACTGCCACTCACCCAGGGACGTTTCACTGGTCTGTTATAGACAGGTGTCTGTTTTACGGAGGTGGTTTAATTGTACAACCGGCTCTCAATGGAATTTCCAAGTATGTCCTTTATATACTGATGTCCGTTATTTAGAGGTGTCTGATAGCACAGGTTTGGCTGTTTTTGTTAGATATGTATCTGACCACCATTAGAGTGAAAGCAAGTAGGCCTATATTGCACCGCTGTACATTGCACACCATGTGACACCACAGCACATTCCATTGCTCTTCGACACCGCAGCACATTGCACCGTTGTGTGACACTGTGATACATTGCACCGCTGTGTGGCATCACAGCACATTGCACCACTGTGTAACACAACGATATATTGCACTGCTGTGTGAGACGAGGGTGCATTGCACGGTCGTGCACCGCTGTGTCACACGATGCTACATTGCACCGCTGTGTCACATGATGGCACATTGCACCACTGTGTAACACGACAGTACATTGCACCGCTGTGTGAGACGAGGGTGCATTGCACGGTCGTGCACCGCTGTGTCACATGATGACACATTGCACCGCTGTGTCACATGATGACACATTGCACCGCTGTGT